CCCCCCCCCCCCCAAAAAAAAAAAAAAAAAAAAGCCCAAAGAACCAGCCTAAACCCTAAACTCCCAAAAACCGGAAACCCCCTTAACCCTAAAAACTCCTAATCCCTATAGACCCTTAACCCATATAAACTCCTACACCCCTGCCTTAAAGGATGGCCCGGCTAAGCACGAGGGGTAGAAAAAGAGAAGCTCTCAGCTGCTCTTGGAGCTCTCGAGGGACTCATCGATCCTCGGGATTTCCAAGGTTTTTCTTAGGGGTTTAGCGGGGTTCCTGAAAGGGGGACCCCATTGTAGAACCCTATGATACTCTTTAAGGGGGACCCTACTATTATAGAAATTGATGGTACCATTTAAGGGGGACCCGACTATAGGACCCTATAGTTCCCTGTAAGGGTTGCCACGATTCCTTTCAGTGTTCCTTTAAGGGTCTGCTTTTTAGAATTCTTCCTCTCAAGGACATTATACGGGATCCTGCCTGTAGGACGTCTATAAGTAAGAAAGTATATATAGGTCTGCATCGAGGAAAGGAACTTTACAGGGGTCTGCGGAAGCTAGAGTCGTTGTTGGCTGTGTTTCTTTGTGTTCCTGGGACAGGGGGTACGGGGGTGGGCTGTAAGGCTTCAGACTGACTTGGAGCCCCGTGCAGCACTAAAGGTAGTTGGGTCTAGGGCTTGGGGTCGAGGGATGTTTGAGGGCCAAAAACCTTCATGAAAGCAGGTCCTACACTCCGGCTTTGACAGACCTCCTTTGCCTCCCCGGCGGCGATCCATTGAAGCTTCCCCAGCTATCGAGGCACACGACTCTTGTTGTTGCTCGTGGTTGGGGTTTGCGGGTTCTGTTTTCCTTGTTTGGGGTAGGTTTCGGGTTCAGGCAGGCATGAAATGGGAAGCCCGGACCTCAGAGGGTTGTCCTGGTGATCCTACAACCTAGAGGTCCCCTTTGTGCTCGCCTCATCTCAGCAGTGTCAGAAGCTTGTGTTCAGTTATTCGTGTATATGTGGGCTCATTCCCGGGCTCGTAGCGTGCGTCTTACAGAGTTTATAGTTTGTTGGGAAATAAAGGCTTTGCCGGGCATCAAGTTTGCGGATTCACCGAATTACTAGGTATCTGAAAACCAGGCAAGCTTCTTCGCCTTGATCTGGTCAGTGACCTTGTACTGATCGTTCAACTCCACCACCTGCTTTTTATAAGACAGCAACCTTTAGAACATGTGTCTGTATGTGTAGATTATCAAACTGTACATTATCCGGGTCTTGTAATCATGCATTATGCCAGCGTAGCGCCCAAACCTCAAGAAAGGCCAAGGCCCTGAACCCTAAACTCCCTTTACGACCCTTCGAAAGGGAGAACCCGACAGGCCCGTGGAGCCTTGGTGGCCAACTGGCTGGCAAGGTCCGTGCCGGAAAGGATCAGCGAGCCGAGGGTATCCTTGATGCCAACGTCCTGGTGTAGGTAGTCGTCGTCGTAGTCGTAGGAGTAGGGTTTCGGATTTATGGTTCAGGGTTTAAGGTGCAGGATGTAGGGTTTAAGGGAACGTCTTTCGAAACACTTGCGGCTGTTGGGGCTTCAGGGCATACGACTGTTATCCGTAAACCCCGTGGACGCAACAAAACAGAGTATCTAACATTGAATGATGCCTCGAGCCTTGGGTGTCAACCTGCGAAAGGCTAACAGCTGCGATCTAGAATTTACATTGTCAATTTTCAGTCAGGGGCAGGGTAGAAAGTAACCCCAAGCCCTCAGACTCAGTTCGAAGGCAGCTCGTTTACGAGGGAGCTCTCAGGCAGGAATAGACTTACGGGTTTAGGATCGGGAAGGGAGCTCTCCTTGTCGAAGCTAGTGATGGCATCGCCAACCGAGTCCAAGGAGGACTTCACTGAGGAGGAGGTCTCGCCGTCGGACTTGTCCAACGCATCGTTCAGGGCAGTGCCCACCTTGGAGGTCACGTCATACCTTGGCTGAGCGTGCTCTTTCTTGTGCTGGCCAGGACTGCCAGGACGGTTGTCATTCCAAGCAGTACTGCTCTGATAAAATTTAACTCGTCATCGGCACTTACTGATGTGCACGTTTTCAAAAAGTTAACCTTGCGGCTGCTGCTACCAGAAACAATACGACTGCTAATAAGAAGAAGAAGAATAAGAATGATACTAAGCATAATAACAAGTAGAATAAGAATAATAAGTGGTAATAGAAATAATACTAGCAGTAATCATCCGTACTTTTATGTATAATAAAACGCAAATGCATACGCAACACAGTTTGTTTTGGCTGAAGAGCCCGGGGCCAGCTTGCTGGGAGTCGGGCTGAGGGTTTAGGATATGGCTTTACCGGGGTACGGCTTGCTGCTACTAGCACTGCCCCTTGACCATCCACACCTCAACATGCGACTTGTGCTAAAATGCCGATATATATGTATATATATATATATACATACATACTAAAGCCTCCGAGCACCTAGTCCACAAGGATGGTCTTCGTGAGTCTCAGAGTTTGGGCTTGGGGTTTAGTCTTGGGAGTTAAGGGTTATAGGGGCGAGCCCGAAACCCCGAGACACCAGAAACCCAAGCCCTTGAAGCCTAAAGCAAGCCAGTAAACCCCCTAAGGTCCAGAAGCCCCACCATGTCAGCCATTTGATGGGCCATGAAGCTTGGAGTTGATGTAGTCCACAAAATTCACGGCCTCGAGGGAGGCACTGGACACGCCCTTCCTCGGCGACTGGACATTGCAGAGAGGGTCGGTCTATGGTTCTGATATGACAAATACTACTGATATACTCACATGAGTCCTTGTACAATCTTTGTTTATCATTTATTACAAAACTCTCCGGTCCACTAAATGGGACTCAGGATGCCAGCGGCAAAACCATCCGACAGTTCGGGTGTTCCTGCTTATCCTCTGGCAGGGCAGACTTCTAAACGAACATGTCAGGGTGGCTCCGAGGCCTCGCTGTCTCACTCGGCTCGGGCTTAGTGTTTAGGGCATCTCAAACCCTCCTTTCACCCGAACCCAGAGAACCCAATTCCCCTTAATTTCGGAATATACCTTGAATTAAAGGGTCCTTAGTACTATGATTTAAGGTATATTCCTCAATTAAAGCATATTGAGTTCTCTGGGAAAACCTAAGACCCCAGACTCCCTCAATCCTGACCTTTGGCCCCACAAAAGAATCTGGCTTTTGGGCGAGCTTCAGCACGGAGGCGACATCGGAATCCTCCTTCGGATCATGTTCACTTTTCAGCGCGTCTTAGGGAACTTGCAGGGTTGCCAGAAGTCTCTTACACAGTCTTACAGGGTTTAGTGGTTTAGTTGCAGGGTTCGGGATTCCTTGGGCCTGGGTCTGTGAGTCTAGCGCTGGCAAGGAGGGAGTGGTTGATGTAAGGGCCNNCCCCCCCCCCCCCCCCCACCCACCAACACTGACCGCAACAGCGGGCTACGCCTGCTGTAACTAACAGCGCATGAGGCCTGATCCCCGTACAGTTCAGAAAGTCTCATGTCGGGCTAAATTTCTTCTAGCCTCAAACTAAACACTCCTAACCTCAAAAAAAATGCCAGATCCGAAACCACCAAACTTAAGCCTGAACCCACAACTCTAAAGTTTTTGTCTTCGGACCCCAAAAGGAGCCCCAAAGAGCTCCTGACAAAGGAGACAAGATCGGTCCTTGCACAAACCACAAGACCCAAACAAGCGAATACACCCCAAGCCTAACCCCTAAAGCAGAACGCCACGACTGCTGTGAAGCCGGCTTTGACAACCAAGCACTCCAGACTCTACTCAAAACCACGAATCCTCATTTTGCGGCTATTCTTGCCAGAAAGCAAACCTCCCTAAACTGCCGAAACTCTGCAACAGCGGACCGCCGGAGCAGTCAAAAAATCCAGAACCCCCCCTTAAGGCTCTCCTTCTTCGCAAGGTAGGACGTGGCTACAAAGCCGGCGGCACCAACCCAGAAGCCGCCAAGGAGGAGACC